CCCTTCCTGGGGAAGCACTCTTTATTGTTAGTTTTCCCTGTGTGTATAGTGCTTATAGTTCTTCTTTTTCTTCTCTGTGTAAATATAAAACCGCCTTTCTCAGCAGCCTCAGTTTTGGAAGTTTTTTTTTCCTTTCCCCCTTCCCTCCTTCTTCTCCCTCTGGGGGGGGTTGGGCAGAGTCTCAGTGGACACAGGGTGTTCAGCCAAAGTAAACTATAAGACCTTTCACGATCTTGTTTGTTCTCCTTCTACATAAACCACTACTTTCTTTGGTGAAGAGAAGATTACAGCTGAGCTGAGCTCACCACCTATACCAAAATCAGACTCAGAATCATCCTTCAACCCTGAAATCAGAAAAGCTAATAAGGCCACCTTCAAGGCTAACATCAAAGAACAGAAGTCTTGGTGCAAATTGGGTTGCCTTTATAATCCTAATCTTACTGGGTAAATAAATTATCACCCATGAAAGAGAAACATTTTCAACCCAGTATGTGATATCATAGTGAGCAAAGAAGTTAATATCCCAGAAACCATTTCTGGACATCTTATGATGTCCTTATGACACAGAGGAATATAAGAGTAGATGTGCAGCTGCTTGGTCCTCCACAAATTTAGGTGCCTAAATTAACAAAATGTAGTAGCGGGTAGATCACAATAAAAGTCAGCTGATTCCATAGATAGATGGGTACATGAGGTAAAGGAGAGAGAGAGCATGTTTCCTGACCTTATTAGCCCAAGTTCTTCTGATTTTAAGCTCCCAAACTCCAAGAAGCTTAGCTGCAAGAAAACCAGGAGACAAGAATAATCTGGTGTTCCTTACTTTCATGTTCTTGTCTATCTGCCAAAGACCTTAATGTCACTACAAGAACCAGTGGCAGTAGAAGATGGAATGAGAAGCCAGGACTGATTCAGACTTTGGTAACACATCAGTCCACTGATGATAAATTGGCAATGTTAGTCATTTCTTTATGACTGTTTTTGGAAAATTTAACTCTTTCTAGGTCTGCCCCAGCATCCTGAGAGAGAAAACTGGTGCTACCAAGCTGAGGACAGCTTCCTAAAGAAACCAGAAAGCTTCTGCAGCAACAGGGATCTTGAATCTTTCAGCTGAGCTCTGGGTACTAAATCACCAACAATCAGGTACCGTTTAGAGCCATGAAGTGATGAGTAGAAAGATCAGTGCAGGGATAGACCCCCTATTCCTATAGTACCTATGACTAAAAGACCTATCCTTTGAAGTCATTTTACCTCTCCAGGTCAGCTGACAGTTTTGTTAAATTTGAAGATATAGTTACATGACAAAACCTACTTTGTTCATTAGATAATCACAATACCTGTCTTGAAAGGTACAGGCCTCCTGAATCTGATCATAGCCAGAGGACTCTAAGGACAACCTTTTTCAGATTCCAAATGGCATCTTTACATACCAGCTTTAAAGCAAAGACTGATGGTAAGGCTATAAAAATAGAATTAATTAAGCTTTGCAAAAAAAGGGAAGGGAAGGGAATCCCTATTCAGCTTTCCTGTGACATGCCATCTAAGAAACCAGAAAAACATAGGGAATATGCATAGCATATGTATGGCTGACCCAAGTCACTAAACAGAGACTTACCTCATGTCAAGCAAGTGTATACAGAAATTCCTTAAGAATATCAAATTTTTAGTGCCCTGCAAAAGTCATTACGGAACAGGTCAGCATTGTTCAATCCTACAAAAGACTTCCCCCAAATAGGTCAACTGCTACTATTAAGAAAATAAAATGTTCATGAAGAACAGCAACCATAGGTGCTTGAGAAACTGGTGATTAGATATAAATGAAGACTTTTTTTAAGCATTTAGATCCAGGTCAGCACCACTAAAGTAGTACAATAGTTTATTGTTTAGAATCATAGAATCGATTGGGTTGGAAAAGACCTCCGAGATCATCGAGTCCAACCCTTGGTCCAAATCCAGTCCATTTACTAGATCATGGTTTGTTCTATACCATCTTAATGTAGGTGTGATTACAAGCATAAGCCTGACCAATTTGGTCTTAGGACACAGAAGTAGCTAAATTAGAAACTCATTGCTCTGGTGGGATCAATATGCCCATTACCCTACCCTGCCTTCTTGATTGCAGAAGAGCTCAACAGCGTCACAGCTGGCTGGACTAGAACTGTGAATAAATCAGGGGACTTCAATCTCTTGCTTCTTCAGGCTCATATTTCAGTGAGTGCAGAAAATCCAGTACTACACTGGATGCTGGCAAAAATATGTGCTGCACCCAAGTGCCTTCATTTCATGCCCTCCTAAACCATCCTACAGACAGATTTTTCAGACTGCCTGAAAGCAGGCCTCACTGCCTTTTCTAGCCTACCCAGAAGTGCTTACTTCAGGAGGGAGAACAATGCAGTCTTTAATTGGCTTGGGCATACGCATTGCTATTGTACCTCCCGTTCTCACACAGAGACATCACATCCCTCAATGTCAGTGCAAAATCTAGCTTCCTCTTAAAGAAGGCTCCAGAGGCAACCAACAACTCAACTGGTTACAAACTTCAGGACAATGCAGTGGTTTGGAGACCTGTAGGATGCCCTCCTCTGGAGCTACTTACTCATTAAGACAGGCTTTACTAGGAGCTTAATTTTACATGAGGTATTATTAGCTAATTACAAAGAACAAACTAGAGGTTTGAGATCACTTTGTTAGTAACAGTGCATGAACAGGGCAACAAAATCATGTAGTACTTGCACTGCTTCCTGTGATGCACTTCAGAAGACCAAAACTGAGCATCCCAAGTCTTCTGAAAACTGGTTATTACTGGAATGCAGTAAACAGCTCACGTTACATAGCCAAAATGGGACTCACTACAGTGTTTTAAACTGTCAGCAGCACTCCACTTTGACATTAAAAAAGAATCATCCCGACCTACCACTCTCACTTTCTAGGCAAGCATTGGTAGCTGAAATCGGACTATCTCCCTGGTCTTATTTTAGAAAATGAAGAAGGCATGAATGAATTCTTTTCCTTTAAATTTAGAAAACAAGTACATTACACATAAAAACATCTACTTGGGAAAGGACTGAAGAACCACTAACTTGTTGGAGAAGTGGTCAACCTCATCTAGACAAATAAAAGTTATAATTTAATTTTTAGCAAGAAGCTGGCAATTGTACAGGAATCCTATTCCCTAGAACAGCTTTACAAAAACTAGAGTAGAATACACAGTTATATTTTTTAGAAGTTTTCCAAACAAGGTCCACCTCTGCATTTGAATCTCAGATAAAGGTTTCTGAAATCTGAGATACTTTTCAAATGATCGGTCCTTCTCAGGGCACACATGCAGTTCATTGTTCACACCCAGAATGAAAAAAGAAAAACTAAAAGAGTTGAGAGACTCTGCATGCTGGTCTTGAAATCTTCATTCTTAGTTTTCTCCTTCACATTAACAGCTATGCACTGAGCCATTCTGAACATCTCCAGCTAGAAAAAGTGTCTTTTTACAACAGGGTTAAAAGTGGCACAACCAAAGAGTGTCAGAACAAGAAACACTGGTGACAAATGAGCCGTGCAGCATGACGACAGTTCAAATCCTTGGGACAAGGACCCTCACTTAACTGTGGGGGAAGGTGGCAAAAAGTACTGAGCTCTGGAAATGCCTAAGGCTCCCTAGGGAAGCAGTATGGCTCCTACTTAAGCTCTCTTTCCTGGGAAGCTCTTAATTTATGTTTACACTGAAATAGATGGAACAAAACAGTTTATTTGTGGGGGAGCATCTAAGAGGGTGGTTAGTGCAGCCCTGGGGAGGCAGCAGGAAGTGGGATAACCTCAGAGCCAGGCCCAGCAGAAAGTACATGAGGAACATTAGTTTCCATATACACAGCTCAGAGGAATTGAGAGACACAACTGAGGGAGGAAAAGGGAGAAGTCAAAAAAGAGGCAGTTGAAGTTTCTTTGGTGTGCTTTTTTTTTTAAATCCAGTTGTTGATAGTTCAGGAGTAACCAATAAAGTGCTATTTCACTGAAACTATTATTTAACTCATAAATTTCCATGCATGACAAGGTCCTTCAGCTTGGAACAAAGACATCAGGATCTGTCTCATCACCCCCAAATATCCAAAGATAACAGCATTTATACAGGAGTGTTGAAAGCTACAGAAGTGTCAATATCTAAAGTGCAGTGCAAGGACCACATAAACGGATTTACTTTACCTGTCGCAGCTAGTTTACCTGATACCTAAACACCGGATAGCTTAAGCCAAGCTTGGCCTTCGGCTTAAGCATTGACTGGGACTCCATCTTTGTGCATGTATCCACATGAGCAAAGGATGGCTATGAGCAGAAGGAGGCCTCTTTAGGGAAGGCTGGGAAGCAGCCACTGGAAAGTGGGAGAAGGCACACTGTGGTACCAGCCGCTGCTTTCTGGACCTCGTCCCAGCAGCTGCTGCCAGCGAGCTCTCAAATCCCTTTGCCAGCGCATAGTTGTGCTTCCAGCGCCTGCCAGGAATGGGCTCTGACGCCACCCTGTGGCCTTCTCGCACAAGCACAAACCTTTCACCACCACCATCATTCCAGGTACCGCGCTTCACATTTCTCCCTAATCCTCAGACGCACGTAGGAAAATGCAGAACTACATTGTTTCAGGTGGCCCAACTGAAAATATCAAATGCTCTAAAAGTGTGTTTAATCATCCACAGCAATCCTTTGCGAGGGCACTAGTGGGTCAGTAACTTCAACTTTCCAGTGCTTCCCCAGTTCCCTTTCAAGTCCCTTTTCATCACCCCGTTTTCATTTTCTATCACGAGATTTTGATGACTGACACTGGTACAGGGTCAACTAAGATCTAGCATTCCCTGCCCTCACAGAGGCCTATAATGAGGAGAAATAAAATCAAAACAAAACAACCAAAACAGCTTCCAGCTTTCTAGAATTACAAATTGCATATTTCTCTAGCATCACAAAGCTGGAGGTTTCAAACAGTAGTCAAAAGGCAATCAACAAAGATGTCCCCAATGCCTTACCAAAGCAGCTGCCACGATGTGAAAGAAAACTTTTACAAGCTGAGGCAATGGACAGCTCAGCAGAAACTACAGTCTTGATAATCAGGTCCTCCACGCTGGCCATCAGTGCTGCAAGGAGGGGAGGAGAGGAAAAAAAAAAGGAAAAAGTAGATCGTGAAGTAAAACATAATATCTAGAAAGGCATGAGAATACGCATATGGATAGATACCTTTGTGAATCAAAGCACATAAGAGCCTATGGATGACAAAGCAATGATGTTTAGAAATCCATTCAAGCATAAGTATATAGATACATGCAAAAGTATGCTAGTGCAAAAATACTCACAAATGAGAATGATAAATGTGAGTATATGTACAGTGCAGGTAAGCAGAAACGTATGGCAAATACATCAGCACAAGTCAGCTGGAGTATGACCACTGCCCACTCAGAGGATTAGGAAAGATTAAACCAGAGTGGGTTAGTGAGATAAATGCTTAAATTACAGAAAATAAACCATAGTCTCCGAGATATAAAAATTTTTCTTGTGGACTTTCATGAAATAACTGTTCTGTGATGTTGCACCTTCCTCTAAAGCAGCTGTTCATAAATCTTTTCAAAATTATATGACTGGTGACATCTTCCAGTCCTGCTGACCTATAGATAACCTGCAATAAGAAAGCATTTGCAGCTCCTGCATGAGCCTATGAACAGAGCTCCGGAACAGGAGTCTAAGCAGACAGAGGGAGGAAAAGGCAAGAAAAGATGGATATTAGATGCAGACCTGGATTCTACACTGGGCTTGGGATGAGTCATGCGATAGAAAGAACACTACACTTAGGTTCTGTTTTCAAGGACAAGCAATAGAGAAGTGAGAGGAGAAAGGAATGAACAAATACTGGAGTCCTGCTCTCAAAAGTTAGTAGGGATGAAAGGACAGCCTTCCCCACCCCTCAAAGGGAGCACAAGCAAATCCACACAGACAGAGGTAATCCCTACTTCAAAGAGAATCTACTACAAACCACTTGACTAGAGAGTTTGCTTTAGGCCTAGAATTGCTATTTCTCATGCTCAGATGATGACATGCAGGGACCTGAACAATTACAGAAGGAGCATACAAGCAAATTTAGATGTGAATTTCTGTACTAGAAGACAACTAAGTGAAGCCAACACAGCATAGAAACATCCCAGTGCACATAAACATTCTAAAGCACAAAACTCTTGCCAGCCCAGACAAGGCCGGCATTTTCCAGCCAGCATTCTACCTCCCTATGACCAGAATCAGATGCATCAGAGAAAGGTGCAAGAAGTCTTTTAATGTATAGTTAAAGAAACCTGTTTGCATTGCTCAGCAGTTTACTTAATAATTAGGAGGGCACATTTTATACTTCAGGTTGGGGTGAGGTGTGGAAATGTATCAATATAAATAACTATGCGCTCACGGCTTGCTGCATACATATCATGCAAGTGATTGGACAGCCATGCACACACATGGTGGAGGAAAAAGCCTACTTCCATCTGAAAGCCAGATTCAAACCCCTTTATCCAACATCTAAGTGTTCCCTGGCAACATTTGCAATATGGGCCATAGCTGCTATCAGTAGTTTAACTGATGCCTTAGTATCACAGGCAATTTATCCCTTAAAGGATATACCCGGATTCTGCTCTGCAGATGCATTTACTCCCAGCAGACCTGGCAAAGGTGTGGAAGAGGGAGTTGTTTTATATGAAACACAGACTGAAATGAAAACACTCAGCAAAAACCTGAGCCATGGAAAGATGACACCACATCCAAGAGTCATTCAAACTGGCACAGTTCTCCAGAGGTTGGTCACTCATCAGACTGAACAGGCCATGGGAGCAGTAGAGGGAGGGAAGCTTTTAGAAGGAATGGAATGACCTTAAGAAACGGGAAATGTAGGTAAAACATTAAGAAACACACTCTGAGGAAGTCTCAGAATACTATTTGCAAAAAGGAAGGGGTTACGCCTCATCTCTGGGGATAGGGAATAAATGCACAGCTCTAATGCTAGAATAAGGAACAATGCTTCCCTCCACCCTTCTCTGGTGCTAACTGGGACTCACTGGGGCTCGTCCTTGACTTTTTAGGATTCACACTAGTGAGATGATTAAGATCCAACAAAGGAATAAAAGAACAAGATCTGTACTGACCTGCAGTGTCTCTCCCCTCTTGTTTTAAGTACCTCAGCATTGCACTCATGCTCCACTTGTTTCCATAATCCTCCACTTCAGGATCATCACAGCTAAAAATAAAAAAAAGAAGCAGATTAACACCACTGGCCTACCTCTGTGGATCAGCATTAAACCAACTTAGGTAAACTGACCCAATCTCTAGAGATCAAGTTCCATTTTCCAGCCAAGTACCTGACATAATCTCCACTCTTCTTGTTGACACTGTAGTTGGTCAGATGCATGAACTGGTTTTTAATGTTCTTGGATGCCTGGTCATACCTCACTGTTGCAAACCTGTAAAGAGGGATAAAGATTAAGAGTCTTTCTTTAAAAAGTGGCATGCTTGCTAGGTACAGCAACCATGTCACTACAGACCACAGAACACTAAACAGACCACTCAACAGCAACAGCTAGGGACAGAATGCATGCAATGAGACTTCATTAAATGAAACCTCTCCACATAAAAAATATAGTTCATCCTCAAGGGACACATCCAGGTGCATTTAGTTTGTTTTCCAATGTCTTAGAGAAAGAAGTTTTTTCTCCTAGGAGCTTTCACAGTTTAACAGTCTACACATCATGCTAGACATTTTTTTAGATTTCCTTAATTTGCAGTCCCTGGACTTTCTGTCCAAATAGGTCACTTTGCTTTAGACAGTAAGTGCCACAATAGGACCTACCATGAATACTTAAGATCCACTGGTCCTGGGAAACACACACATTCAGAGCACTCACACTACATATGCATACCACAGCCAGTATTTCCTGAAGCCTCATACAGGCATAGGTCAGTTTTTGTGAACTCTATATGGACATCTTAGGAAAGAGTGGAAACAGATTTCTACCACCAACAACTACATAGCCTACAACTGCCAATCCATTTTCTCAAGAGGCATCCACGAAACCAAGTACAACCTAAATGCCAGACCAATTGGTCCAATAAGGCAGCATCTGCTCCAAGATGCTGTCATTCTTAGGGACTATGCAGCCCTTCATATCTCAAATATGTCACCTAGATGAGTACAGGGAAGATCACAATGAGGAGCAAGACATTGCTACAAGCTTATCTGGGCTCCATATGAACCCTGCTACAGCCAACAATTACACAGTGAAATCAGCCTGTTTACTGTAGAAACAGTGGCAACCTCCTGATTGAAAGGTATTACTTTATAGTGTAACCAAGTACACCACCACCACTCCCTTAGCCATGCCCTACCATCACAGATGTTTGTGTTGAAATGAATCAAATAATTGATTCAACTGAAAAATAGCCCAGGATTTTGTTTTGTAAGGTTTTGGGGATATTTTTTTTTTTTTTGAGTTGAGGTGCAAGACAGAGGGAATAGAATGTAAAAGGGAGAAGGATGCCAAGGGACAAAGCTAGATCATGCTCCCTTATCTGGCTACAAAGTTAAAACTTTATAAGCATTTTTTTCCTATTTTTCCAGTGGCCACTGGAGCTATCCAAACTCCAAACTCTTTCCACAGCTATCCACTTTCATTTTACCTGTACAAGAGCATCTGTGCTGCACAGCAAGCCATCTAAAGCCAGTCTTTTTTACTGAAATATCTATTAAACCAGATCAGGTCACTGCATGGGTACAGAAACGCTTGTGGTGACACAACACAGTGGACACCACAAGCCTCTAAAAGAGCACAGGAATAGAGCACAAAATTGCACTGAAACAATTTAGTAATCTTATCAACAGGACACCTCTTTAAGAAGAGGTCAAATGAATGTTGAAACAATATAAGCTTCTGGGGGAGAAGGAGCTTCCTGCAACCAACTGCTAGTTGCTCATGCTACCCCTCCACTGCCATTTGCAGCCAGAGGAGAACCGATCATATACCTGTGTCAGAAAAGGAAAGGGTCAAAATGAGAATGAGAACAGCGGTCTGGAAGAGTTTTCTCTCATGAAGAGTCCTCAGGAAGGACTGTTTCTCTTGATAGCCATGCCAATTTAAAATGTTTAAAATTACATCTTGTGCAAAAGTTGCTTTCTAAATCTGTAGTTGCATGATCAGCCTTTGTCAGCCTACAGATGTACTGCAGCTGAAAGCTCATCACCTGCTGAGGTGCACACTCCAGACACTGTACTTCATCTGCTTCACAAATCAGGTAGCCACAGGCAAGTCAGATCACTTCACAGATCTGACCGAACAACCACTTGAGCATATTACAGAAAGATACCAATTAACTTTCAATCAGATGCAGGTACATCCTCTTTCAAACATAACAAAGGACAGCGTTAGGATACAGAGTCAGAACAGAAAGTGGGCAGTGCCTCCATTTAGGGTCAGGTCACCAAACAACTTTAAAAAAAAAAAAAAATCAAACATTAAGCAGATGATAATACTATTTGTGGTGACATTTGCAAAATCTTACATCTAGACAAGGACATGTTATCAAGTTAAATGTAATGGAATAGAATGTGAATATAATGTAATAGAATAGATGCAGTTGGAAAGGACCTGCAATGATCATTCAGCTCAACAGCAATCATTTGCTTATGCTGCATGTAATCCTGATTCAATACATATTTTAGGCCTCAGACTTTGGAGAAAAATAAATAAAACAAAAATTGAGAGCAGAATCCAGGGCATCTAGTTGGAATAATGACCAGTATAAGACACTGATAATCACCAGAGATCTAACAGCAAGCATGTTCCAGTTCAAAAAAAAAAAAAAAAAATAACAACCCCAACCAACCACTAACAACCAAAAAACAAAACAAATTAATGAGAGGAAAAATACCTTCACTCTGACAATCCTCCTGTCCCACAACAGCTTAAGGTGCCAATGTCTCAAAAGAGAAAAAGGGGAGTAAGAAAGGGTAAAGTCAAATACATGCTATCCAAAGAAGCCCCAGCAAGAGGAAACGTATGTACCACAGAGGGCAGGGTTAGCTGCAATAAAAGGGGAGTAGATATGGGTGAAGCCTCAGCGCAGGAAAAAGGAGTGTTCAAGAAGAATGGAAGAGGAAAAGAGGGAGGGAAATTTGGATCACCTGGTTATGCAATGAAGTTAATGTCCAGAAAAGAATGCATCTCCAATTTGCTTTATTAATAGTCATCTCTCTTCATCCTTCCCTTATTATTTTCCATAGTTCAGAAGAATCTGAACTATAAAAAGACATCTAACAAGTTACACCCAAAAAAAAAAAATAATCCTTCCTTTAGAAAGAACTGTCAAAAAACCAAAGACTTTATTTCTCGATGAAAATGAAGCCACTACTACCCTTACTTAGTAGCCATTTTGAGAAATAACAAGAACTATACCAGCAAATCAACGAAGATGCTCATCAGATTAAACTTATCCTTAAATACAAATGCGGAAGCGAGGCGGAGGAACCCTCCATGATGTAACTAAGTGGCAAAGTTAAGAGTGAAAAATATTTTGCACCGTATTTTTCTCAACTTTAACTACATTTGAAATCAGAGTATCTGGCAACAGAAAAGAGTTTGGAAGTTTGGATCCCCTTTCCACATATTTCCACAGCTTAAAGTATTTGAATTTCTTCTCAGTTTAACTGAAAGTTTCCAGGATTTAGCACTTCTGTTTTGAAAACAGTGACAACAGTCCTACCATGTATTTTGTTCTTTATTATGATTTCATTATCTCCATCTTAACAATAATTTATTGAAAGCATACGGAAAGCATTTGTTGATTGTATATTTTCAGCCAGATCCAGGAAGTTACTGAGCACAAATAGCAAGCCATTACAGGAAGTCATGGCTCCCTCAGTACTTCAAAGCAGAGGACATTTAGGTTTACCATGCTTTTTGGCTTATGTTTTTAATTGTTCATACTCAGAAATATAAGAATATGAACCCTGGCAGACACAGACAATACTCTAGAGAACAGTATTTCTGTACCTTGCAAATGCTTGCATTAGCTTCCTTCTACAGAGCCCATCCTTAATTATTAGGTGATCTGAGCTCCATGCCCACAGAATTTACATTTCCATGGGGACTGACTATTCAGAAGGTATTTCATTGTGTTCCACAGTTCTCAGTACAAAAACTTTCTCTTTTATTAGGATGCTACCATCTTAAGGGACATCATGGGCCACCTCAGCAATGCATCAAAAAAACGCAAAACAAAACATTTAATGACTCAAATCTACTATCAAAAAAGCCCCAAGCTTTATACAACAGAATTCAATGCCAGCTTTAATACTTTTACCCAGAGCTAGTCTGACTAGCCTCATGCTAAGTGCAAGTCTGCAAATAGAAAATACAAGTTATTTCTAGAGCTTCTATCAATAGTCTCTGGATGTCAGAATGGTAACAGATCACAAGTACAACGCTGGCAATAGTCCACACTCCTTATACTTGTGTTTTGCACTTGTTTTGGCTGGAAGACTGTTACTACCTCTGAAATACCAGTTACAATTACTGCCAGTACTCTATAGTTCTACAGCTTTTCATATTATACTTTACTGTACCTTTCTTCCACTGTAGTAACTAGGCTACTCATCCATCACACTTGCTCTCTCCAGGAAAGAAAAGGAATTTGCATGCTATAGAATGTCTTGCATCAACGGAAATTTACACGCTATTTTTGGAGAAACCAAAGTCAGAAAAAGGCCTTATAGTAAGAGCGAAAGGTAGGAAAACTCCAGTGCTTGTAAAATCTTCAAGGTGTTAACCTGAGATTAGAATAAACTCTTGAGAAATCTTGCAATCTTTTAGAAGATGATTCTATTTCAGGGCTTTGCTCTTTTCCAATTTCATTCTGGGCCTCTACTCTTTTCCAATTTTATTCTGGGCCACTACTAAGAATAGAATATGTGTCACTTAAAAGATAAGGGCCAAGATCCTAAAAGCAATTCAGAAACTATATGCTAACTAGGCACAGAAAATCAAGGGCGAGCTTGATGTTTTCCCAGTAACAAAATTTACCACAAGCATATGCTGCAATTTCTGCAGGAGCTATTTTCATAAACACTAAAGGCTTCATGCCCAGGTGTCTCATATTGCTTTAATCCAGCCAAAGTGATGAAGGCACAAGTAAGTGAGTCCAGATCATCGTCTGCCAGGATAGGACTGTTTTGAGCCAAAGCATTACTCGTGGATGCTGCTATGTGGGAGCCTGCAATTAGACAGGAATCCGAGAGTACTCTTAAACCAGAGGCTGGATTGTCCACACGTGGAGGCACATCTTCAGCCAAAAGAGTCTATTTTATCAAGTGAAACTCTTTTAAACACTATCTTCTGCTTACTAATACCATCTCTTCTTGCTCTGCTTCAAGCAACTGTCATTTTCCCCCCACTGTGATCTGTTCCTGTCC